GGGGGGTATTCTAAAAATGTGGACATTTTATCTCCTTTGTTGACCCAATCTGAAATATGGCATAGAATTAAAGATTAAATTATGATTTAGAAATCAGCTTTAGATCCACAGACCTTATCCAGTCAGTGGTTTCCCCCCCCCCCCCCCCCCCCTCCCTTCTCCAACCAAACCAAACCTGCCTACAGGTCTCAGCGGTAAGACCAGTGACATGATTTAAATGTCTTGTTTTATATATAGTTCAAATTATGACCAAAGTATATGTAGTTGTACTATATTGATTAGTCATTTTGTAGGCTTATTATTGTAAAAATTATTTTGGATATGATGGGTGAAATATTATAGGTCAAAAGGAATGCATTTTTCATTGTTACAGTATGTAATTTGAAAGAAAAGTCTGGAAAAGAAACTTTAAGTTTAAACCATCTTCATGAATAAAAAAGATTAATTGAGTTATATTGCATGGCTTTGAATATTTTTTTAAGCAGTTGTCACTGGTAAAAGCTTATGTTGGCTCTCACATGGATGCAATCTATTATTCAGGGTTATGGTATAATTTTGTATAAATATTATTTTAAACTGTTCAAAATATTTCATGTTTCTCACATATACGTAATACTGTACTAAGGTGTTGTCCACTTCACACAATTTAAAGTGTTTGCAGTGTATATATTCAAAAATGGGGATATTATGTTATAAGTGCTCTCAGCTGTTGGATGTTGTAATCTCTTTATCCTCGAGGACACCATAAACTAAGACTTAAGCTGCACTTTTTAAATAAGAGTTAAAAAGAGATGAGATAATAGTAGCATTGTCTGGAGTAACAAAAAAAATTAGAGATGAGATAATAGTAACATTGTCTGGATTAACAAAAAAATCATAACTGGCCACAAACAAACAGATAAGCAGACTTATACACTTGCGAATATTTTTACAAGTATTAATAATAAGAAGAAAAAAAATGACGCTGTTAGTTATGGTAGCTGCCTTTGCCCATTATACTAATAACAACTGGAACAACCACTTCGAACTTGAATGATCTTGCATTGCACATCATCTGCTTCTCTAACACACTCGCAATACGGGATACTCGCTTCTCTAACACACTCACAATACAGGATGATACGTGATGGGTGGGGGGCCTTTTTGTTGTGTTAAACAGTAATTATTTGGTTAGCTTGAAATCATCAGTATTTTTGTAGGTCCACTTTTACATTGAAACCGTAGTTTTGCAACGAACAACTAACTGATTATCCGTGTAGAAATAAATTAGCACGCTACGGGATCGAACCACTGTTTCCACTTGTTTTACCTCTAACCAAGCGGGTATTTTGGTGAACACGACGAACTTCTAAACTGCCAAGACCAACAGAAAATTACTGCTTTAAATTATAGTCTTAGTGTGTTGATTTTATTTAAAAAATGAAATGATATTTAATGAGATAATAAGTACTGTTTTAATGTTAAGCTAATCTCTTGCACAATTTTATATGTAACCCAGCACATTTTTGCTGTGCTCTGCTACGCCGAAAAGCGAAAGGTTGAAGTTGCATCATGTGTTTTCGTTTTTCTTTTCTGTTCTAAACGTTATGGTTTCTTTGGATAGATCTTCGTTGCCTTTTGAAGAGAGGGTATGTATCAAAGTCGTTTCAGTTTTAAAAAGGTATTCATTTCACATGGTATTTTTCTGATAATTTGAGATCTTGAAAAAATAGGGATACCTGTGTCGTCAATCTCATGACCCAAAATGAGTCCGAACACAGGTCCTGTGACACACTCAGCATCAAGTACACAATCAGACTGTCAGTTCTTAAAACAATCGGTCGTTGACAACTTGTCGTAGAAAAGTACGCGTTAGTAAGTTATTTCAGTTTGATGTGTGTATCTGTCATATATATATTTAAGTATGTACTAGTACATGTACTATAAACTGATCGACTTCAGTGTGTTTAAAATTAATTGTTGCTGTCAAATATGTTTGTTCACCCTTTGATCATGTGATGTTTTCTTTTAAGCCAATACACGCTGGCTCTATTGTCAGTTATGGTGGCAGTGTTGTACCAATGGTGGAAAGTACAGGAAAAACTGACTGGGATTTTCAAAGACGAGAACATGTGAACTGCAATGAAGGTTATGGAAATGTTGCCCTAGCCAGTAATTATTCCAGTCCTGCAAACTATGTGTCACAACTTGCAGAAAGCTGCACACCATACAGACACCATAATATGTGTGGAAACAACTCATTTGATTACACTGCAGAAGAAACTATTTACAACCAGAACCAAAATTACTCCCAACAGTCACAATTCCCAAGGGACTATGGTCCTTCCCCATCATGCAATTTTACAAGCTTCCAAGATACAGCATTGTTATCTAATCTACCTGATGGATATGGGGTTTGCTCTCAAAGCTTTTCAGCCCCTGTTAGTGAGATCAGATGGACTGTGAATAGAGAGGGGGCAGTGCATAGCTCAACATGGTCTGCTCCCTTGTGCCAACCACATGTTGTTAGTCAACCAGTCTGTACTGATTGGCAACAGCCCTTGAATCTTGACCCAAATGTAATGGTTTGGCCTTACAACCTACCATCCTGCATGTATCAGAGGCCCCATAGAACAGAAATGAGTGAAGCTATCAGTGGGGACAGTGGTGGAAGCCAGCAGCTTGAGAACTTGCAAATTTCAAGGAGCCACGTCGTTCAAGTTTCAGTTGCTGGGGACAACCAGCATGGGAACTCTGTGGAGCCAACAGCAGGGCCTGGGGAAGGTGTGACAATAGGGGACAACTTGCACAAGGCAAGAAAGCGAAAGGGGCACACCAGCATATCATGTGACCACACCAGCACATCATGTGACAAAAAGAGGAGATTTGGTGATAGCCAAATGACATCCAGTCAGACTTATGTTGAACAGCAAACATTTGACAGTGCATTCCATGAAGACTTACCAAGTGCCTGTGTAAATGAAGACTTCTCATCGAGTGCTGTGTCAGAGGACATAAGTGAAAATGAACTTCTCATGGTCTCTGGTTGTCCAGTTGCTCCACATTCTCTGGAGCCACCCGTTAACCAACAACAGTTGGAAGAGGTTCTCCCTGAGAACCCGGTTGGTGAGCTAATCCAAGACTCTCCTCTTGCCACTTCAACGCCCCTCAGAGCCAAACCTTGTAAGCTAAATGAGCAAGAAGAGGAGGAGGAAGAAGAAGCTTTACAAGGGGCTGTTTCCAATGCTTCCCAAGATAAAGCCACAGTGGGACCTTATTCTGGAAAAGAAGGCCAGGAGATGGTTAGTGGGCAGATTTCTGAGCCAGTGAAAGAAATTCTTGATCTTATGGAGACTGAGAACATATCTGGGTCTGAAACAATGCCATGGTCTATTTTATCTGTACAAGGTGCTCCTTTACTCCATGCAACTCACAACAAGCAGATGGAGGTAAGTCCAGTTGGCATATCTACTTGTACAAGTAGTGAGCTGTTGAATCCAACCAGTCCAAAATCTAGTCAAGGTAGTTGTGGAACAAACAACAAGCAAAAAGGAGAGGGCCATATTGTAGAAACTGGACTTTCCGTGTTCCCCTTGCCTGAACCAAGAGAGCAGACCCAGTGTGCAGCAGACGACATGAGAAGTTTGATTGATGAGCAAACTGTCAAAAACCAGAAGTACCAGGTTCATGTTGATGACATTACCAAATTAACATACTCTACACATTCTCCTGCTATGTTCGCTGGTGCCACGCTGAGCCCTCCTTATGCTAGAGAAGACATTGGAACTTCAGTCAAACGAGCCTCACCAGATAGCCCCTTGATTCGCCAATTGTTGTCCTTGCCAAATAGATCCTCTACCATTGGTCAATCTTATTTAAGTCAGCCGTTTGTCTCCAATCAGCAACCGCAAAAAGGATTTGCATGTACATTGTCAAGGGGATCAATAGTAGCAGGAAGGAAACATGATCTTTATCAGAACAAAAACTCTGTTGCCCCTTTATTGGATAAAAATGGAGCTCTTTTTGACAAGGTTGTGGGACTGCCCTCTAGTGGTTATGTAGATTGGAACCAACCAAGAGAAGGGAAGAGACCAGATGTGAACTACTTCAGTGGTCAGCCTCTAATGGTCTCTGGACAGAATTGTGACAGCCAGGGGGAAAATGTTCAGATTGGAACAGTTTCACTGCCTCCAGTACCACCATGGCGTGGTATGTTCTTTATTTATTAGCCTAATGGATCATTTCTATTAGTAATCTGTAATGATAGAAAAATTAAGTGAGAACAGTACCATATAGACTTAACTAAGATAACAAAAGTAGATATTTTATTAAGTAATAGCTAGGGTATGACTGTGTATGTAGCATATATTGGGTATGAGACATATGTTTCCTCATGTGTTGAAGATGAGTGAAAAAAAAGCCAAAGTTTATTACTTTTTGATCAAATTTTAAAGTCATAATAACTCTTCGTTTTGGCCAAAAATACGATTTTCCTGGAAAAAACGGCAATTTTCCCGTACTTACCAATGGTCAACGACCCTATTCCTGCATTCAAAGTTAATCCAGGGTTTTTTTCCTAAACGTACGGTTTTTTTGTTAAAATCTCTTAAGAGATTTTAACTGACGGAGCCCTCTCTCTGACATGATAGTCACGCGATATCGAGCGATAGTTTCTGGTGACCTACTTAAAACCGCGGGAAAAGCAGACAACAACAACACTATATAACAATATAATAAGATTCATAAGATATATTCGTCTTATTGCTCAAAATGCATTTATATCTACAGTGTGTGCAATTCTGGGCTTTTCGTTATCCGACGCACTGTACAAAAACTTAAGTCTGAGGGTTTCCCGCCATGTTATTTTGGTCTCGAATGAACGCGAGAATCCGCGTGACACCTAAACGTCATTGGCAACGGATGCACTTGTCGACCGTAAAGAAAGGCATCGAAAGCCCAAGTGACAAGCACAGATTTTAGTTTTACTACAATAACAGTCGTTTTAGTGGGAAAATGCAATAGAATATATTTCCAGGCGTTGTTTACAATGTATTTCTTGCGGAATTTTGAATCTCAAAGGAAGAGTTATTATTGCTTTAACCAAATGATTATGTTGAAAATTTTTTGAGCGTTTATATTTTAGTGTATACTTTATTTTTGTCTAACTAGTTTCTACATGGAAGCAAACCAAAGGAATGCATAAGCCAAGGAATTTTAGAATGAAGGAGCTCCAAATTGGAACTTTTAAGGTAAACATTTCTGTTAATAGAAATGCCAATTATGTTGACCAGTAAACATTGAACTGGTTTGTGATTTTAATCATAAAATAAAGAATTGATTTAATTTATGTGTGTAATACCTTGTCCTTATTTTAAAGATTGGTACATGTAACTCTGTCACATTATTATATAGAAATTTCTTCATCTGTTTGTGCTTTCCTGTAGTAGATATAAGCGCAACTTCTGTGAAACAACTGTGTGTTGATATTTAAACTTGTGATATCCTTCACAGCCTCTGGTTTTCTTGTAGTTTTCTAATAGCAGCATAGAGGGCCCAGTGCCACTGCTAGCTAAAATCAAGCTTATTTTCTCCACCAGGTGTGTGTGTATACTTGCTTTGTTTTGCACCCTAATTGACTAATCCTTTATTACTAATGATATGCAGCAACGATCCAGTGTTGCAATCAATACCACCAGTCTTCATCAGGTAAATGAGCGTCAGTGACTTAATGGACTGGTCAGGTGGTATCTATAGAGTCTCTATACTCTTCTCATCATTCATATCACACTACAGGGTGAATCAAAATTTTCACCATCTCGTTGATAAGGCTGTATGAACATAAGAAAGTTTAAAGTTGTGACCATGGGTGTGGACAAAACCTGGCTGCTTCGATGGGGAGATCTGTGTATTATAGTTTATGCTCACAAACTAGATTGTTCACATTCTGATTTGTTTTGGGATTTTTATATGAATCAATTTGTTCTTTTAAGCCAAATGCTTGTTATTTTTATTTTAAAGGTCTCCTTTTTGTGTAAAGTAACAGTTCAACATTGCATTTTCTAATTAACATCTGCATGTTTCACTCAATTGGGATATGCTTTTTGTTTGGGGGGGGGGGGTATTTAAAGCCATTTTGAATGATTTTATTGTTACCTATATTGTCAATATTATAAATGCGAAACCACCTACAAACGTCAGGTAATATGTAAATGAGATTCTTAAGAAATCATCTGATAGAGAAATATTCATGTAGCTTAATTTGCTATTGCATGCAATTATTACCATGTGATTCCTAATACCACCATCTATTAATACTAACAAAATTATTATTTGTTGATACCAGCTGCTTTTAGTAAAGCTCTTGAGTGTATTTGGTGTTACTGATAATCTGTTAAGAATTGCATTTTATTGAGGTTTGCAGTTGCTTTTAGGCTGCTTTTATGATATACTAAATGCCTCGTTTGTCCGGATTTTCAAAACTTTTCATCTACAGTTTCATTGTTATTATTATCATCTTTTATGTTATTGCCATTGTATTTCCACTGGATAGAGCTATTTTATTTTATATTTGGAAGTTATATATATTCAATCCAATATATGATCATATTTCAGTATGCCTGTCTATGCAGTGCCATATCAGGACATTGGCTTTTATAATATTATCTCTCCACTTTAGGAAGCTGGTTTACCAGTTTGAAACGGGCACCTTCCCACATAATAGGAATGTGAAACTTCTGGTTAATATAGAAGTTCCATTCAGCACCATAGTTGGTCTTCATGCCCACTTCAGTACCATCCAGGTGGAAGTGAACAGAGCTCCGTATATTTTTCCTGGTTACAAGCTGGTAACCGAGGGAAGCTCCTACCAACCTTTCTTTCATACCAGGCATATAAATGACCACTGTGATGTCACTGGGGGTCAGTTTAAGACCTGTCCATACCACAAGGTAAGATTATTATGTAATTGCAGAAAAAAAATGAGTAAAAATTATTATTAAAGTTTGAAAAGTACTGCCACTGGGGACTGATTTGCAGGGATCATTTCGCAAATAAGCAGCAAGGTGGTCCAGCTACTTATCAAGTACATTGGAATTATCTAAAGATATATATGTAAACAGAAGGAAGTAAAGACTTCACTTCTGCTTTACTTTGAACTTCTCAACAAACAGTAGGTGTTCTCTTTAATGTGATTTAATATAAATTCTTATCTTTGTTCACATTGCCATATCTTACAGATAACTTTGAAGATGAACACGGCTTTAAACTTCAAGAAATATTTGTCTGGTTTTGATGAGAGACTAGATGGATTGTTTAAGAAGCCATTCATTGAGCTCACTGGCAAAACTCTGCCAGTTGTTTCAGGGTTTGGGGAAGGAAATAACATTTATCCTGGCATAGATTTTTCTAGTAGGTTCCTGTTGTTCATGTTATTTTTCTTCTTATATTCTCTTTCATTTTCCACTGGTTTTGTAATACCTCTTAACTTACCAAAGTGAATATACATTAGATTTTTAAGTTAATTAATTTTGTCTCAAATAATGGCTGTAATTCTGTTGATTTGCCAAATGTTAATTTCTAATGCTTTAGAGAGAAGTTCTAATGATAATACACACGTACTCAGTACCTGAAGAATGACATCATTTGACACTTCAAAGGAATTTTACTCAAATATTGTCATATGAGGAAACCAAAAGCATGTTCTCCTTTCAGATCCTATTGAAGAACCAACAAAGACCCCAGTCATGCTTACATCACAGTTAGAAGGCAGTGCCAGATGTGAATGCACTGTGTCTGGTGCAGAGGGAGGCATTTGCTCCACCCTGTCATGTGGATGCTTGTCTTTGGGAAAGAAATGCAGTGATTGCCAGTGTATTGGGTGCACAAACCCTTTGAATATCCTCACTCAAGTTGGCATTGGACTGCAAGAAATACAAGATGACCCTTGTTTATTTCAAAATCTGACCAAGGTGGGTGATCAGTGTAAATGATTATATGATGCTCCAACAGGTGTTTGTGTGTTTTAAGTTTTTAAAAAAATGAATTTAATGAAGATCATATTTCATAGAGCTTATTAAATTCTATCAAAGTTTAATTAGATTTTATTTGAAAGCATAATTAATATAAACCTTTTTGTCCTATGACTTCACCTCTTCACATCCTATTAGGAAAACTAGCGGATGTTTCTGTGATGTAATTGAAACGCTGATGATATATTTTTGATAAAATTAAAATAGATTTTCATTACACTAGATGAAATTTCAACTCTTGTTAACCTCTCAGATGCATCTTTGTCCTTGAAACCTTACATCCAGTAGCTCAGCTTTTCCTTCAGTTGTGTTAATATAACCAGTTTTGCAAACTGATCCATTGCCATTTTGTCACCAGATTCAGAACCTTCCCCAGTATCTGGAGTGTAACATACATTTCCCCTGCTGTGGATGTAGTGCCAAGCTGAAGTACTGTATCCCCTCCACAGTGCTGTGTCCCAACTATCCTGCTTGCAAACAGGCATACAAGTACTCTTGGTGTATAGGTAATACATTATGATTGATCACAAATATATAAAATATGGATATTGATAGTTAAAGGATTAGTGAAAATGGCTAGTTCAATTTCATCCCTTTGCTCCATCCATAATGAAGACAAGTATAGTTGTACAGCAGTTGGCACAGATGAATTCGGGTTCAAACTTAAAAATTGATACAGAGGAGATAGTTTTCCCTTTCGAATAAAGATTTTTTCAATATTCAAATGACCATTATAAGGCACATGCCTGACAACATATCATTTGCATAACCATTCCTTCTGAACATACTGGAACTGTTATTTACTTTTTATGCACATAAACGGTATTGTTTACTTGCAATTTATTTAAGATAATTAAAGAGTTACATTTTCAAGTAGAAAGCAGACACAAACTGTGCAGTATCATTACTTGATTTGTCTTCAGGTGAGTTGTGCAGTGAAGTAGACAGCCCCAGGAATCATTGTGTTGAATGCAAGTACTGCAGGAGAACTGGAGATGTGCATTGTCAGGTAGACAGTACAAAATTACATAATGACAAATTAAGGAAGGATTTTTGGCATTTTCCTTCCAAATTAACTAACAGCTCTTTTAATGATATTTGAATTAATATTTTACAGCAGCATCATGAAAACATATTGTACTGGTGGTAAAGAGTATTGAAAGCTCAGGAAGTGGCATTTGTGTGTGTGAACATCTAGCTAATGCTATTTTATACTCCTGCTGTGCTTATGCATCCATCTTATATTGGACAACAAAATGACAAGTGGGTTGAAAAGGTTAAAGCACATAGTGCTTTAATTTCATAACATTTTTTCTCAATCAGAAGTGCAAGAGATGTTACTTCTCAGGGCCAAGTGGATTCCGTTGTCCAGGGTGTACGGAGACGGACCTAAACAGTAGCTCTCCAAACCACCTAATAGACCTGTTTAATGCCATGGTGACAGACATGAAGACATGGAACAGTGACACTGCTTAAATGTCATTTGGAAAAGGAAAGGACTGTCTTGTCAACATGATGACAGGCTTGGACCACAGGAAAAAGGGACAGGAAATGTATGTTCATGTGATTTGGTTGGAAAAACTAATCGTCGATAGTGACTGTGCATTTTGGTTTGACTAAAGGGCTTTGTATACCATTGTAACTGTGAACCATGGCAACAGGGATTTGTTACCTCTTGTTTACATGGAATATTTGACACCTAGAAAAAGTCCTATCAGATGCATAGGAGTTTTGTGATACAGTGATTTGTCAGCTCTTGTTTACATGGAATGTTTGAAACCTAGAAAAAGTTGTATTAGATATATAGGACAGTTTTGTGGCAACAGTGATTTGTTACTTCTAGTTTACATGGAATATTTGACACCTAAAAAAGTGGTATTAGATGTATAGGACAGTTTTGTGGCAACAGTGATTTGTTACCTCTAGTTTACATGCAATATTTGACACCTAGAAAAAGTCTTATGGGATGTATAGGACAGTTTTGAGGTGCAGGTGACATTTGAGTTTGCCTGTTTATATAGTGATCGGCCTCTTTTTTTTTTTCCTCTTTGCAAGATCATGATTTTAGTGAATTATTTTTGGCTGGTCCTCCTCAGACATATAGTGATACCAATGACAGACAACAGTAATGATTTAATGTTAAAATTTGCAAAAATTCTTGTTCTTAGTGGTGATGGCATGGGCCTAGAAATGTGTAGGGACATACGGATTACTTTTCTCTATGAACTGTCTAGATTTTACATGGGTTTTTTTAAAGTAACATTTACAAACGTCACAGATACATGCTTCTATTCCAGTTTATTGGATTCTTTGTATAGGTTGATTGGTATCTTAAAGTGCTTTCGAGTTTTTAGAGACTTTTTCATTGAGCTTAGAATAGACTTCTGACTTGCTTATCAAGATTCTAGTTAAATGTAGACATAGATTTTTCTTGCTTTGTATTAATGTCCTCACCAGTCTATCATTGATTAATGTAGGTATCTTTTTGAACATCCCCCCATTTTAACCCAAGTTACAGTATATAATTTTTTTGTTGTTGTTGTTGAAGTGGACCCATCAAACACTACCAAGGTGGGTTGTCATATTAAAGGGATAACAACTCTTCGTATGAGAAATATATTTTACAGTAAAAACATTGTAAACAACCCGTAAAAATACCGGGGGTATATTCTATTTTACCACAAAAATGGCAGTTGAAGCAATTATTCTGAAATCTGCACTTGCCATTGGACCATGCGACCTCATAGATGGCTCTACTCTAATAATCTCTTAAGAGATTATTACAAAAAAAAAACTTTCTAGAAAAAAAAACTGGGACTAACTTTGAATTTAGAAATGGATTCATTAACCATTTGTAAGTATGGGAAAATTGTCTACCCCAGGAAATTCATTTTTGCCAAAATAAACAGTTTTTGTCCCATTGAATTTTAGACAAATATACAAACTTGTTTGTTATCGGTTCTAGATTATTTAAATATGAATTGCTGTTGTTTCTTTTATAATATATATTCAACGTTTTGCAACAGAGCAATGTCCCTTTAAACAAGGGTTTAATAATTTTTCCAATGTAGAAATTGACGTATTCCCATTGTGGGGTTAGACGAAGGGGGAATAATCATTCAAACTGATGTAAGATTAAGGAACTAAATGAAATCTTCATGTAATTTGTTATTCATGATGGTGAAGCAAGCTACCTATTACTTATATAATATTCTTATATAACTGCAAAAAAGTCAACATCTAGCATAAGGGTGACAAAAGGTTTTGCCATTTGTGGGGGTTTGACACATAGAAAAATACATTTACATCTTTTCTTTCTAGCATCTTACATAAATTGTATAGACAAGCATTCACCTGTGAAAATCCAAGATTAAAAACACTCCAAAAGTACAAGCTATCCATACTATAGCAGAAACTGGAATATTCAAATAAATATGCCATGATTTAAATACATTACTTGCATGATTCTGTTTCACTTGCTAACTAAAATATAGGTCAATCATTTTTGCTTGCCACTTTCATTTTATCTCTGACTGTCATGTTAGAGAAAAATCTACTACAGATATAAAGAGGCATAGGTAAAAGCATCAAACATATCACAACTACCAGTATCACGTCAACAGAATAATATTGATACCAAGACATATGGTTTAGTTTAGACTGTAAATGCATAGCTCCTTTGGCTGCAATAGCAGAGTTTATAACGGATAGTATTTTCTGTCCGTGACCTTCTAAACTAAGTCTTAAAATCTTAGATGCTTTCTTTGCATTTTTTGCATACACAGTATTATTCAGTACTGTCAATAATTCTGAGTGCAGGCTGTCAGCTGTCAGTGTTGACACTTCCAGATATGTCCCCATTTTCAAGCGGTCAGTCAACTTCTTGGCCTGATGGGGCTGGTCAGCAATTAAAGGAATGGTCAAGACAGGGACACCATGATATACTGCTTCAAACATAGACCCTGCTCCTGCATGAGTTACAAACAGTTTTGTTTTAGGATTTGAGAGCAATTCTCTTTGAGGAAGCCACTTCACTATCATTGTATTTTTACCGTGTTCACTTGGGAAATCATCAAGATCATTTGTGTCAGGTATGTGTCTCCATATGACTTTACATGGTAACAGTGCTAAAGCCTTAGCGAATAGATTACCCCACTGGATGTCATAGCGGGTTCGAGATCCCATGCTCACAATGACCAAGCCCTCCTTTTCCTCAACATCTTGAAGAAACGAAGTCACCTCTTTTTCTAAAGGTCTAGATCCAGTATTAAAAAATCCACCGATGAAAGCCATATTTGGAAGCACTGGGCTTGGATACTCTATTGAAAAATCGGTGTTGTAAATTCTATAGGCAGCTCCATGGTTAACAAGATCTGTTAAAGTTACATCAGTAAGATTACAGTACTCCAACAATTCCCTAAACGGATTTAAAAAGTAGCCTCTGAAAATATAGTTTTGAATGGGTTGAAGAAAATATTGGGAGACCGAGTTCTGCACTCTTTCCATCAATGTCATTTGATCACTGAATGGCATATCAACACCAGGTAGGTATGGGGTGTGAGGCAAATCCCAAACAGACCTGTGACTACCTGGCACCATATCAACAGTCACATATGGAATATCAAGATAGGTAGCTAAAATACTCCCACACACTGCCAGACTGTCTGTTATAACCAAGTCGGCTTTTAGATTCTTGATGCGTTTCAAAGAGCCAGTTGACATGAATAATGCCTTACAGTGGCTAAACTCGTGTGACATTCTATAATGAAGCTGCTTTGTAGGGCTCTCTTTCCTGATATTGTCAATAGAATCGGATGTATCACAAGATTGGAATGAATGTTCCATCTCGAATTCTGGAGTGGTGTATTTGATCAAATGGACTTTATTTTTAAAGTTCTTGGCATAAGGGTTATATGGTCCAGCATATCTGCTTGGTGCTATGAAATAAACCTCGTGTCCTTTGTCAACAAGGAATCCTGCTAGAAACTCAAGGTTTAAGAGGTGGGATCCCCAACACTGTCCAAATGGTTTGATCAAGATTTTCCCACCCTGAGCTAAAGTGACTACCATCACAGCTATCAGGAACTTCATGGGTTGTGCCTGCATGGTGATGTCTTCAGTTTTTATCTGGAAATAAATATAATGAGAATAAATTGAGATATCTGCTATCACCCCAGTATCCAACACGTACTAGCACACATAGTTAATACATATTAGCTTGATAAGTTGATTAGGTCCTTTTACTTCTTTAATTAAATTACTAATACATTGATATGGATAATTCTTCACAATTTACCAAGATGTTTTGCCAATCAATACTTTTCCTTTTATCAAACATAAAATTAATGTACTTCAAAAGGGTTAAGAGACATATGGATAACAGTGGTGTGCTGCAATCAGACCACTAAATCCATGCTTTTTTGCCACTTAAACTATCATATTGTACTTTAGTGTTTTACCCATTCTAAACGATGTGAATTCACTTTCAATAAGTCCCACCCCAGAAAGCTTTGTAAGGGGACATCCACTAGGCGACAGCTTAGCGTGGGATGTATACACTGGAGGCAGCTTTATCTGAGCTCTGGTTAGTCGGGGCCGTCTAGCCCAAGCGTGGGATAGTGCTCTGCGGGATAGAAAAAAAAGTATCCCGCAGAGCACTTTCTTAATAGAGTTAGGGGATTCTTTTTTGTCAGTGCTTATAATGATTAGAGGATTATATGTAATACAGCGATGTTCAATGGTGCGCAAAGTTGTATTTTATCAAAATTAAGACAAAACAATTGCTTAACTTCTTATTTACTGCGGGGCAGCAGAAAATGGCTGCGCCCTTGATGAACACTCGTTGGGCAATCTCGGTTAGTTGAAGCAAGGAGTTATAACTCCTTGGTTGAAGGGACTGTTTTGTATAAGGTAGGATGTGATATGTTGCATCATCCCCTTGTAGGTACTTGACATTTGTTGAAGAACGTGTATACAGCAAAATACTGGAGATATAAATGAGTTAAATACAAAATCGTTTTCTCTGCTCTCCACTCGACAGTTTAAGTCAAATACGTAAAGTCAAACATTGGAACTTCTCAAGTTCTTGAGCACTAAGGATGATCAGGATTGATGACAGTGTCATCGCCTCTAGATGAGAGAAATTTCAGAATTAGGCTATGAAGTACTCTCTGTAAGTCGCATTTTTTCATCATAGACATAGTATTTAAACTGACGTACATGCACAGTATAATTACAGGTTTCATCGTTCAGGATATGTTTTGGACTGCCACAGGTGTGTCGAGACTATTTCCCAGAACAACACAGATTTTCAAAAGTTGGTCAAGAATTGCATCATATTCACAGCTGTCTAACTTCAAGAAAAAAGGGAAACTCAAGACTATGAAAATAGATACACCAGAATTCAGGTAAAATTTGCTGTTTTTGATAAGATACAGAGCTGTCATACTAAAATGCACATTACAGCGCAGTGCACTATAGAGAATTACTCCGGACACAGGGAACTGTTATTTGCAATAAAACATTGTGATATAAAGGCAAAACATATTGCTATTTACAGTCTGCCACATTAGCCACTGGTTCTACACCTGCAACCAGTAAAATTTGTTTGGAACAGCAGATTTTTTTATTAGAATATGTAAATTTAGGGGTCTGACATGGCACTTAGACTGATTGAAATTTTTATTCAGATCTACGAAGAAAAGTGGTCGACAAGTCCAGTAAGCTGAAAAGTTAAAGGGATAATAACTCTTCGTTTCGACCAAAAAATGAATTTTCCTGGAGTAAACAACAATTTTCCCATACTTACCAATGATTAATGAATCCATTTTTACATTTAAAGTTAGTCCCTGGTTTTTTTCTAAAAAGTTTGGTTTTTTGTTAAAATCTCTTAAGAGATTTTAACAGAGTATAGCCATCAGTGGAGGTCACGTGGTCTAAAGACAAGCTCAGATATTAGAATAATTCCTTTAACTGCCGTTTTTGTGGTAAAACAGAATATATTATATTTCTATGAGTTATTCACAATGTTTTTATTGTGAAATATAGATCTCATACGAAGAGTTATTATCCCTTTAATGGCACAGACTATAGATGATAAGTACCGTTGTTCCAACTCATTACAATTTGTTTATGAATCGTTGGGTCATCTACCATTTTAAAACTCAAGAAGAGTTATATGCCAGTAATATATATTATTTTTGTATCACCTTACTTTCTTTGAAATGCCCGTTTCCTGTGTTTTCTTGCGACTGGAGTTGTGTCCTCTAGTGTATTGCTCTATATAGTGCTGTATTGCTTTGTATTGCTCATTAATTCCATTTAATGCCATAAAATAATTAAGTAATAAATAAATCAAGACTTCTTCAGATGGTCATGTCATCTGGACATTTTGATTATGATATTAGGTATTGGAAATTTTTATTTGAGGGTTCATATCATTTTTAAGGTCTGACTTGGGAAAGCTAAGTGGCTTTGCAGAATATTTAGATATAAAAATATGACTTTTAAACACTATCATATGTGTAAAGTATACCTTTGATAAGTACAGTATTGAATACTCTTACAAAGAAAGTTCAAGTACTTACAGATTTTGTCAAATAACCTACATACAGTTAACCTTACTTTCTTACTTTTTCTCTAGGGCTCTTTTCACACCTGAGCTACTCAAACTAGAATCTTTATTTAAAAGTTACCAGCATGAGCTCCGTATAGCTGGAGGAGCAGTGAGAGACCTGCTGATGGGAAAGACTCCACATGATGTGGACTTTGCTACCACCGCTACACCAGAGGAAATGAAAACTATGTTTGAAAAGGAAAAAATTAGAATGATTAATGCAAAAGGAGAAGAACACGGGACCATAACTGCAAGAATCAATGACAAGGTCAGCTATTTTACTTTTTTTTTTTTTTTTTTTTTTGTAAAATGATGATGAAATATGGATCTGTGCAAAGCGAAACTGTGCCTTGACCATTCTAATCTGTACAGGCCCACTTGGCTGGTTAGTGGTGCCCATGGCCAGTTGAAGGAACATCTATCCTGGGTTTGTAACAACCAATCAGAGTGTTCCTTACTTACAGTACCTAAGAAAGCTATCAGGCATGCATTGGGCATTAGACTTTTCTTGGAAATTTCAAGGCCTTTCATCAGCAAGGTATACCAGATCTAAAACAAGTTAAAATCTTTAATATTTTTTTTGCTGCCAAAGGTCATCATTTTTTAACTTTGCAAAATCAAGATTCATAAGCCTGTGTATGCATGGAGTCTTCTATGTTTATAGTTACCGGTATGAGTCGTTCTCATACTGGAGAGAGAGACTGATGAATTTCATGTGTGAAAATAAAGATTTGAAATAAAACTATCAGCTTCAAGTAGTTGGTGATACATGGGTAACATCTGAAGTACAAAAAAGAGCCTTTAAACAGAGAATGAAATTATAAGAATTGTTAGTTAGGAGTAGGAGAAATTATTTTGTTTACATGTCAAAAAATGTTTTGGGAACTATGTTAGTGTATGGAAGCTTTGTGAGTATTTAGATTTATTCTGTATTTTTTTGGTTGCTGTTGCTTATGTGCAGTATATTTTAATGACATAAAATTTTGACTTTTGTTACTTGCAAAAAAATGTTTTCACAAATATATTGGTCTGCTTGTTTGTTTGCTTAACTTGAGGTAGTTTTTTATAAATATGTGATAGAAATTTATAAATATGTGATAGAATTAGAAATAATTTTAGAGATATGATTTCACATTACAGTATTATTTTTTTTTCAATCCAGGAAAATTATGAAGTGACCACCCTGCGTATAGATGTGGTTACAGATGGACGTCGTGCTAAAGTGGAATTCACCAGAGACTGGCAACTTGATGCCAACAGGAGAGATCTTACTGTTAATTCAATGTTCTTAGGTAATTTTTTATAAATAGTTTTAGCACTAATGACTTTTTTATTACAAAAAACATATGTAAGGGATTACATGTTGCATTCAATACAATGCTTGGGAATACATATTTGTTAACATGTAGCAACTACTAACTAAATCCCATTGAGATTCAACATCAATGTCCAGGTTTTGAATTTTAGTTAAACTTAAATTTTATGAAAGTCAAGTTAAACGCAGACTGTCCTATATGTTTTACATGTTTTCTTGAGTGAATTATTTTGATTTAGGTTTTGATGGAACATTGTATGATTACTTCAATGGCAAGGAAGATTTAGAGCAAAGGAGAGTGAAGTTTGTAGGAAATGCAGAGGAGAGAATTCAGGAAGATTATTTACGGATACTTAGATACTTCAGGTAGGGCCATGGGGTCTGATTGTGCTGATTCAGTCTTTTTTTTTCATGAATTTCACCGAGAATAGATTTAGTCTGTGCTTTATAATACTAGTTACATAATTTGTTAGCTGAACTAGATTCTCTATGAGAACCACTTTTTGAACCAGATATGAGGTCCAAATTAAACCAATTGCCCGAGACAAAATTTTTAAGAAGTTCGATGGTGATAGCATTGTTAAATTATGACCTCAGCTTATACAAGTGAGGCTAATATCTGGTCCAGTGTGGTTAAACTTAAATACAACTTGAGATGCTTTTTCATTCTCGATAAAATCTGTGTGTGTGTGTGTGTGTGTGTGTGTGTGTGTGTGTGTGTGTGTGTGTGTGTGTGTTTTGATAATATTGAATATTGACAATTTAACAAATAATCTACTTACACTATCAGGCGTTAAGATGCTAGCAGTTGAAAATGTTTAAATTGATGCTTATTTTTGTAATTAAATTTTGATTTTGTTAAATACAGATTTAGGGATCATCCATTTGTATCATCATTTTCACAAGTGTACAAACCCTACACTGGAGGTGCAGGGGTTAATACCCTCTGTGCATATCTGAAAAATAATAGAAATGATGCCAAATTGCTGTGAAAGATCATCATTTTTATGTACAGACACAGATGTGTCTGTACATATTGCCATCACCTGCGTCTGTCGTCGCCGATGCCGATGCCGATGCCGATGCCGTCGCCGGCACCGTGCACTTTCCTTGTAAACACGATAAGTGGAAGGCAGTTTCACTTTTTGGCTTAATATTTACAGAGCTGATGAATATTCATAAAACGCAGGTCAAGTTCGAAAATCAGCATGATCGGGCCATTTTAAGGGAAGTTATGCTGTTTTTTCACTTTTTTCAGCATATATGCAACCCTGTAAACACATTTTAAGGAAAACCCCTAGGCCTGTTGTCATGAAACTCACAGTAGTGGTCAATCTTACTAAAATGGAGGTTGAGTTCGAAAATCAGCATAATCGGGGCATTATTTTAGAAGTTATGCTGTTTTTTCACATTTCCTCAGATTCAACTCTTAGGCATGTTAACAGTCTCATTATTGAACTAATAAGATACGTAAAAGTGTTTGTTTGACATTTCCTGCATCTTTACAACATTGTTAGTTGATTATGTAAAAATGATGGTAAACTTGTTATCGTGTATTGTGTAATAAAGTGTCAAAAATGGAAATAAACTCATATCATTGCAGTTTGTCAGATTTAATCATTCACTATGTTCAGAATCTCAGAATGGAGGAAATTAGACATTTAACACTATTCTATTGATATTTTCCCCATCTCATCAATTTTCTTAGTTGATCATATAAAAATTGCAGTAAACTGTTTATTTTGTTTTATGTTAAAAAAAGTGTTAAAAATGGAAATAAACCCATGTCAGAACAGTGCTGTCTTGTTTCACATTTCCTCAGATTCAATTCTTAGGCATGTTAACAGTCTCATTATTTAACTAATAAGACATGTTAAAGTGTTTGGTTGACATTTCCTGTATCTTTACAACATTATTAGTTGATTATGTAAAACTGATGGTAAACTTGTTATCATGTATTGTGTAATAAAGTTTCAAAAATGGAAATAAACTCATATCATTGCAGTTTGTCAGATGCAATCATTCACTATGTTTAGAATCTCAGAATGGAGGAAATTGGACATTTAACACTGTTGTATTTATATTTTTCCCATCTCATCAATTTTCTTAGTTGATCATATAAAGATGGCAGTAACCTGTTAATTTTGTTTTATGTTAAAAAAATTGTTAAAAATGGAAAAAAAAAAATTCAGAACAGTGCTGTCTTGTTTACATTTTGGCATTTTCAAGTTGTGACTTTGAAGTTCCATGGGCCTGAAGACCTTTGCTAGTCACATTTTCTGAATATCCATGATACTAATATTTTATTATTAAAAATTGATGGTCATTATGCTGTTAAACATTATGTAATATTGCATCAAAATTTAAAAAAAAACTATTTTGGGCACTGCTCCCATGATGACCATCTAAGAAAAACCATGTCACTTACTGTTCTCAAACTTACAGGAAAGAAACATGGGACTAAAATACAGCTTCAGTAGGCAATGCAGTCTGTTTGGTAATTCTTACTGCCAGTTAAACGGTTTCACTTATTGGCATTTTCAAAGTGTGACTTTGAAGTTCCACGGTCTTGTTTATTATTGCATCAAAATTGGCAAAATGACCTCTTTTGCATCCTTTTTTCTGTTATTTTGTCTGTACATTTGACAGCTTTGCTGCCTTGTTATCATTATAACTTTTATGCTGCACATAATTTCCTTCAACTGTGTAATATTTCAAGTAGATAAACTGTAGGTGTTATATCAGTGTGTTCTGTTACAGGTATGGAGCCAAATGTCTGTCTCTGTCCAAATTAGTGGGCGCAATTGTGAAATTATTAGATGACCCCAACAGACAGGTAGGTCACTTCTGCTGCAGAAAAAATAAACTTTGGTGAAGAGATATCATTTTATTAGTTAATATGAAACTTGTGTTTGAAGGAAATTGAAAAATACCTTTCTAATTTTATAGTTCGTGAAGAAAAAAAATTATGTTGAGATAAGCTATCTAGGGAATTTGAACAAGAAATGCATGGTGCTATACTATATGTAGTTGTTGGCCAATGAATTCACAAAGTGACAACAGTTTCATTTTTTAGTCCTCATTAACAAAAAGCAGAAAAGAAAAGTAAAAAAGAAAAGAAAAATTGGTAAAATCTTAAGTTTTAAGCCTGAGATCATGAAATGATGGGTATCTTTTCATAAAAGGTGTCGGACCAGGCAATGAACACCCTAGTGGACATATACTGTAACGTAGGGGAGAGGGTGCGAATGGACATCTCCAAGAAAGGTCTCTCGCCGCAGTTACTGCACACCGTCATGGACAAGTTTGATAAGGCCAGAAGTTTGGGGAGAATGAGGACAGATAGTGCTGGATCTACAGGTAAGATTGCCTGGTTGTGCTGATTGTGTTGGTCTCACCTAGCACAATGGTTGTGCTGATTGTGAACACAATCTAGTTCATCAGTACTAGTTTTTGTACATAGCAATTAGGACCTATTTTCTTGCTGTTTCTACATGGAATTCAGTTGGGATAGTAGATGTTTTAAGTAATAAAGCACCACTTACTCCTCTTACATAAGATATTTGACTTGTTACAATTTCTAATTGGAGAGTGCTTGGCAAATTTGAGGATAGAAAAGTTGTCCTTGAGGATTCCATTTTCTCAGTATCATTTCTGTGCTTTCAATTCTCTTTAGTCCAATTGTCAGGTTTTAAACTTCTTAATATTCTGCAGTAAAATGCCATCTATTTCCAGTTGCAATGTAAACCACTGGCCCCTCACCAAATTCCAGAAAAATTAAAGCAGGCCCCCCAAAATTTATATAAACATCTTCAGTTACTTCACACTGGTCCAAATAAGGACCAGAAAGATCTCTGACCATTGTGACCCATGGGGACAATGTATTATTGCTGTTTCATTTTATCTTTTTGATCTGCAACTTTTCATCTTGACAATTTTTGTTGTGTGATATGGCCACTGACTATTTTTTTTCTTTAAAGATGTTCTTTAAGCTGCTGTTTGTATTGACAGTTTTATATCAGCAAGGTATTTCATATTTTAAATTATTATTATTTTTTTCTTCTATTAGACTTTTCATCAGACTGGCAATCCCCGCCTCACTATGGGAATGGTGAGGCTCTAGGTAAACACTGGGCTATACCACCACTAATGCCTCAACTTGTATTTATACTAAGTACAAATGTGAATATAATAAGGCAGATTTGGGGATGTGTCTCCTTTCCACACACCTGTTTGTTGGGAAATCCACCTATGATTTTTGGTAGACATACTCTCTTAATTTTTTATATAACTAATATGATTACAGAGCACATGATTCCTAACTGGCAAAAGACATTATAAATACATTCCTTCATGCTTTGAGCAGTGTAATAGGGATAACTTTATATTATGAGGGCTGTTGCTTTTTGATTAAAATTTTTTTTCAATACCTTTTATTTTTTAGTTTATTGCTAGATGCATAGTAAAATCACCCCAACATATTCATGCTTTTCTGAGCCATAAGAGCTAAATAACAATGGTTACAGTTTCTTCTTGTAATGATGTCAATCACAGACTGTTGGTGGCAGCACATTATGGGTCAGTCTTTTCATAACAATAGGTGGCAGCACTTCACAAAAGACACCAATATATCAGCTGTCCATCAGTGTAAAATATATATTTAGACATTGGATAAAATAGGCAATTTTTTCATTTGGAACAAATTCATATTTTTCTATTTTTAAATATTTTTTGTTGTATTTGTAGAATTGTGTTGTTTTAGAGTTTGTGTATGTCATGTATGTTTTCAGCTTTCAGACTCTCCCTAAATTATGATGGCCTCAAACTATTACACAATTTTATGTTTGTTATAGGTGTTTACACGCACTGTTTTCTCTCTTAAACGAAAATGGCGACCTTCAACCCCTTTTGCTTCACAGTGCAACTTAAAAGCAAACACTGAGTTAATATAAAAGACTGTTGAATGGGGATAAATACACTCATTTAGATATGTCTATTTGTATGTGTTCATATACACTTTCTGTGAGATACCTGCACTGTGGCATTTTATGCATTTATATACATATGTGAGCATATGAACAGAGATACACATTCATTGTCTCACAAATGCATTAGAAAACATACAAATATTACAGTAGCCTCAGTGAATAAGTTAGGCCTGAATTACACTTCTTTATGTCAAGTTGCCATTTTGTCTCATAGTTCGTAGTTGATGTTGTGACAATTCCTTGTATAACAGTGAAATGTTTTTGGCTGATAAATTGAAATATTTATATTTCATATGGAGCAATCAATCAGTTGAATGTCATTTCTTGGCCAACACATTTTTACATTATTATTATTATTTTTTTTATTATTATTATTATTTTTTTTTTTTGAGATGATTTTTCAAAATTGTCAGCAATATCTGTAATTTTATATCATGGTGGTCAGTATGTAGTCTATCATCCACTATCAGTACTATATTCCAATATGCCTGTTCTTATACAGTGCACATTACAGCCAACTTAATTCTAATGCGTGTATGTAAGACATTGATGGCCTCATCAATTCATGTTAACAAGGTAGATGAAGTCACTGGATGGTGGACAGCAAACCTTTTAGTGTTATCAGAACATCTGAACTTGGCTTGCCATGTTATTGGAGATGGTGCTCCGTGCACACTGATTGTTAAGACTGGGAAAATGGACCCAAATGTGCTGGGAATTAGTTTGACTGGATGATCTGAGTGGCATCTGTGTGCTCAGTGATATGACCATCGGTCACATTAAAACCAACACTAGAAGCAAACTATAAGTGATAAAAAAATATTAGAAACAAATGTCATTAAAAAGATGGCAAAGAATTACAACTGGCCCTGTGAAATAATGAACCTAGTATAGAGATTTGGGAACTAAATAAAACAGATATAAGGGAGAAAAATGGAAGTTTCAACGAGGTTGTTGTTGTTGTTGTAAATAATGTGTTCTTCACCTGTGTCAGTTATTTTGAGATAGCTGTCATACTGGAGTAGGGGTGGGCTGATCTGGATCAGTGGTCAGGTGAAGCGGTCAATGCACCCGTGATCTGGAGGGCAAATGGGCAGAATCCAGGCTGTTTTTGTTCCATGAAAGTTTCAATTTTGGTTCCAGATATATTTACTAGTAAGTGTTTTCAATTTTTTCAAAAGGTTTTTTAATTGTTTGCAAAAAAAAAAAAAAATAAATAAATAAATAAAATTAAATAAAACATAACAATAATAAAGAAAAAATAATAATTAGCTGCTTCAGAGGATTCTTGAATTCACTGAAATTGCAAGTATTAAGATAATGATGATGAGGAAAAAGATAAATATATAAAAAGCAAAACTTGCATTCATTTCTAGAAAGAAAAAAAGTAATTAACATATTTATGTGACTCTGTGGGTGGTATATGTGGGATTATCCACTGCAGCCTACCATAGAGAACTGCCTAGTGGAATAAGTTAAGGGGGATCACTGTGAGAGAAAAATCATTTGTTTACTCGCAGCCGCTGACATAATACAGACCACATTATCTTCTTCCTTACGTCCCCAGCACAATGATAGAATGACATCAGCGAATTAGAAAAACTAAGGGTGAATGCTTTGGGAGGATTTGGCCATAGTGTATAGCATTAAATGCCCTTTAGTATAATCCAGTTTCAAATCCAGAGGTTCTTCAGGTATAAGGGTTTGAATGCAGTTTTTCCTATATTAGATTTCACTCCAGTTTGAGCCTGGCATCTATTTACATGGCTTTGTATTTGATTCCAGCAGCATTCCTAAGCGTAAAGTTTCTTTCTTTTATAAAAAAATAAATTGTATAGCTTCCCCGCTGCCCTTTCTGGTACTTTACTGCCATTGAATAGGGATAATAGAGTGTAATCCAATAGGAAAGAAGTTGACACTGGATCAGAGAGTGAATGCTTCATTATGTCCAGACCCAGATTCTGATTTCCACTTTTATGTTGATTTTTCACCTTTAAGTACCTCTGACTTGAGAGGTGGGGAGAGGTCGGGCTGGCTGTGGTAACAGAATCGGGCTCTCCCTATTCATCTGTTAGTTGTGTATGTGTAATGCAGTGAGTAAAGACTTTTCCATACAATGTTGGCAAAGGATGGCATTCTACCTCTGTGCATGTTCAAATAATTTAATATTCAGTTAAGAATGTTTTCTAATGTCAGTGCCCATGTAAAAGTTATTTCTGTTTTAACCTGAGAATTTTTCTGTTGACTCACTGCATTTGGTGGTGCCTTAAAGGCGAATTTATCAGAGTACTGAGAATGTAGGAGTTTTGACATTGAGAAGTTGTGAAATGTTTGAATGGAGCTATAAATCACATAGTGCTCATTGAAGGCAGAGGATGCACAGCCATCTGGCTGGTGTAGATAGCTTGTTTAGACCAGCTGCTTGGGGGGAAAAATAGTAAAGAACCAAAATATAGTGCAAGTCATAGAAAGAAAATAAAAAACATACACTTTGCCATATTTTGGTCTGAGGCAAAATTTTATTTACTTGTTTTTCTGTGACACATATAGATATATAAATGTTTTGTGTCGCTGCCTGTCATATATTTTCAAGCACTTAATAGCCTTAGACTTCATCAGTTAAGTTTGTTATGTGAGGAATTTGTACCTTCATTACTAAACTAAAGCCAAATGTATCAAATCACCATGGTAACCCATAACAAATGAGCTGGAAACGAGTCAACAAAGTGACATTAAACATGGAGGGTTAAAATGTGCTGCTGATCACACAGCCATTTTGAATTGTTTTTCCATCGTGTTTGCTTGGTTATAATATGGTTACGCAAATTTCTATCAGGAGGAGGCTTTAAATCAGTTTCGTGTGTTCCATACTAAATCTGACAGCTACAGAAGTATATTTCTATCCCCATCCTGTACACTTATAAACAGTTTTTTCAGTTGCCTTTAAAAAAGTGGATTTTACCCTGCAGTTCCCCTCTAAAGTTTTGATAATTTTGAGCTGAACAGATGTTTGTTTAATGTGTAACCTGCCGCAGGCTGTCATCACCAGCAGTGTCAGGGTGCAGAGAGAGAGAGTTATATACAGGTAGCAGACAGACTGTTTTGACGTGAAATTTGTGAGAAATTCACCTGATTTTGTGAAGTACAAAGCTTTTACTGAGGCCCTTTCACCGGATCTTGTGAAGTCTGGGAGTAAAGGCAAGACGGCTCTATCAGGAATCTGACTACAGACCGGTAACTACGTGGTGAAATTTATCCTACTTTCTCGGAAGTTGGCTCCTAGGAAATGGCACATCAGAGATGTGATTAGGAAGTGTAAATGGGACTGCTAATTATCTTGGGAAATTGTGGAGAAAAACATTTCTTCTTACGTGGATGAATGGCTTACTATATGAGGAAAAAGCTTCCAAAAGTACTACAAAAACAGACTTGGAGCATTATTTGATGTGATTTAAGAAATACTCTAATGATAGTATTTACTGTGAAGATGACAGTAACCAAGTAGTTGGACAACATCAAGAAAGTGTAAGCCAACGGCAGTGATTGGATTGGTGTAAGTTCTCACAGGAAGTGTTATGAGTTCGACTATATACATTTGTGTGCACTGACATCTGAAATGAGACTACAGACAGTAATGTTATATAGTACAACACAAACCAGTGGTTATAATGCCTCAGGCTCTGGCAGAGAACATTCTCAGCACAGCAAGAGAGGTATTCCCATCGCTGTGAAGAGTCAACAGCAATATTGTTGAGATACACTCAAAGTGAGGGATTCTTGAACTAGTTCAGCATTCTTTGATAACTGTTTTGACGTCTAGACAATATGGTGTAGAAAAACAAAAAAGATAAAGCGTGAAGATAAATTGACCATTTTCTAAACTGGGCTCTCCCTCCCCCTCCTCCCCTCATTAAACCTGTTCACCTGTCTGATCAGTTAACACCTAGTGCACAGGAAATACAGGTAAACACTACCAGGTATTGGCCTCCACAGGGACCAGAGATATTATATTATATATACTGTATTGGATAGAGCCTGCAGTTATTACATCCCAACTCCATTGCCATAGCAGGACCACTGTAGACCTCGCTACCTGGATCAATAATTTTATGGATCTGGTTTCTGATCGGGCTGGAGAAAGTATGAACATTGTTGATCAATCATCTAGAAAAAACAATATTATTTTGCCCATATGTTGAGATACCAGATCGGCTCGCTGGGATTGGGTATGCAGAAGAACACTGTCTTAATGCAGTGTTTATATTGTGATAGCTGTCATTGGTGATAACACTTATGATAGTAAATAGGACCTTGTTGGGTGACAAAACTGAAATATCAGGGTATCAATGCTTTAAGGAGGGCAAGGTCTGGTGTCAGTGTACATGATAACTTTAATGTCACAGTGTCACCTGTCACCAAACATGTCACGGTGAATTTGACAGCAGTGGACTAGCACGTAGACTAGCACGTGTCAGGAGATCATGACAGTGTTATCAAACAGCGCAGGTTGCATTAAGATAGCCAGTGTCAACTTGGCGTTTGCCAGATTGCTGTGTCATTGCCAGAGGTGACAATATCTGTCCACTATAAATGCTGGAAGATAGGATAAAGAAAAAAAGGAAAACTTGAAGGTACATAGATCATTTCCAGTATGAAGAGAAATCCAGAACATCTCACTGTCTTGAATACCATGTAAAGCCTGCCACAAATCACCAAGCTCAAAGGAAGACCATTAATAATACTTACATAAGATGAACAGGGATTATATACATGTGGCATAAAATGAAGTGATATGATTTATGTTCTAATGGAGACCGAATAAAGCTGTTACAGATATGAAACATCCCTTTATGTGGATTCATTTTCAATGCGGAATGGTCATGTGAATACAAATATATTTTGTCAGTTGGGCAAATACTCTAACCAGTTTGACTGCTGCTGTGAAATATCATCTTCCCTTCAACCAAATAGGAGCATTAGGTTACTTTTATCAACCAAAATATATTATAGCAGAAAAACATAGCTGTTGACTACACAGCCTTAGGATTTTACATATATGTAATCAACAGGAGAACTGCAACTGGTGATAACCATAGAGGCAAATATTCTCCACAAGACAGTTGGGAATGGAATTCCTTTTTATCAGCGAGTGATGTTTAGTAACTTGCTGGGCAACCAGCTCCAAGGTAGCACTCTACACATGTACTGGTACAGATAGATATCTACTCACTCCGTCATGCTTCAGTGACTGGGGGAGCCCATGCTTTGTCACAAGCCCTCAGGTATGCTAATGGCAACCAGATATATATCTTACTTTCAAATGTGTGTTTGCCATCGTCCTATGTGTCCCCTGTTTTAACTGACTACAACACTCCACAACCACTGGACTAAAGTGGCCTGTTTGAATTTGACTGGTCATTTGGTGGACAGTTGTGTAGGAGTGGACGCGACTGGTGGACATTGTTTATGGTGACAGATGGTAGGATGTCTTTGAAAATGGATATAACTTTAGGCAACAGGTATTTGGCCTTATGACCAAGAACTTACGCCTTAAATAAGGACATCTGTAGTTACTGAAGACAAAGGAGTTAGGACACAAAACTGACCAATCTGTGTAAGAGACATTACATCCCACCTTTGATACAGAGGATATCACTGGATTTCTAGGCAATAAGGTCATTGCACTGTGACTGAACATTGAAAGAGCATTTTTTATCAGCTTGGAAATAATTTACCATTACATCTGTACCCAGTATGATGTGGGATATTTAACAGTACCTCAGTGTTTGAAAGCAGGTATCGCAGTAACTGTATCACTGTTGTAGTACTGAATGAGGTGTCAGCGTAGAGCGCAGCTTCACTGGTAAGCTACAGGTATTGTTCCCTCCTTTTGAGTGTTCACTTGACAAGAATAACACCTGCAGAACGAGTTAAGCTACAACCACACACCTGTCCAGTTGGGCGAGCAGGGAAGGGGGCAGTGTGTCAGAAGTCGTAGGCAGATAGCAGTGCAGGAGGAGGTTCCAAGGACCAGTTTTCCATTTCTGTCAATACAGGTATGCGTGCTGGCATGACTGGAATACTCATCTCCCTGTGAGAGGGTGAATTAATACCGTATGCGGAAGGAGTGGACTCTTTAGCTGAACTGTGACGGCCGTGTTGACACTTGCATGTTGACTGTTTGACACTGTTTTGACACTGCTGTGACATTAAGATTGACAAGGGGGAATACTTCAAAGGTGATTGAACCTCATTTTAGCACAGGGAGCTGTATAGTGATATAATATTGCAGGCTTTTTGTATGCATATATTATAGATCATTTATAAGGCAGTGTCGCACCGTTTTGATACTGTATTGATTCATTGGGACCGTTCACTTCAAACCCCGAGGTGATTGACTGAAAAGGCAGCTCTACAAGAAAAACTTGCATAAATTCTTGGATGCATCAGGAATTGATACCTCATTTCCAATTTTATTATCTAAGAAGATAAACAGGAATTCAGGAAAGAAGCTTAATAGAGTACAAGACTGAGAATTGGAACCATAACACTAGAGAACCTCATCGAGGCTGTATGATACTTTCTCTGCCAGTCATAATTGGGGATCTGCCTGCTTACCTTCAGTGCTGGGTTGTTTTGAAAGATCTGCCAGTGAAGAGATGTAGCAAGGCTGACATGTATTTATGTTGAGGAGATAAATCTTTACCTTAATTGGAGGTGGTTTCCCTAAAAAATAAGCTACTGGTTTTTATGTGAAATTAAGAACAGGAAAGTTCACTACTGTGTTGGGGAAAAAAAGGAAGAGGGAAAAGCCTAGTTTTTGCTAGACTTTTATAATCATCAGTTGAAATTCATTTGGCCAAGAGTTGTTACCTATAGCATACCAGTAAAGAAACTGGAAAAAAAATTATTGAGAGGATTACGAAGATCCTGGAATATTTGTCTGAGTGATAATAAAAAGGGCAACCCTCGAAGTGCCTTCCCATTGACTTCACTATAGCATGCCAGGTGAGAGTTTGCAACGGCCTATTGCCTGCTGACATTAACACCAGTGGGAGAAAGAGAGGTGAAATAGCTCTGTAGAATTTGGCTGGGATAGTAACATGTCTAGGTCGGGGTCAGAGAAATCTCGGGGTTATAACACCCCTGCTGTGATGCGAGACAGTTTTAAAAGGACGCAGTACATGACAGAGGAGCAGCTGTGGGCGGAATACGGCCAGCCCGAGGAAATGGTCCGTTCGCCAGTCCTGAATCATAGTCCAGAAATCTCAGTTAATAAATTCTTGTTTCCAAGCACACAGGCCACACGGGCTGCTACACCTGATGGAACTAAACAGCGGGCCAGTTATCGAAAGAGGAACGATTCTGCAGGGTTGTGGAAGGACCATATAGCTCAGGGACATCATCGTGAAAACAGCCGTGAAAATTCTGCTTTGAGTCCAGTGGCTGCTGGGGCACACTTGCAGTATTCCCATCCTACTGCTGCCCAGCTAGGAGACAGAGTACGGCAGGACTCCTACAGAGACCAGGACCAATATACCTCAGCTGATAGCGGAGTCTACAGCTACGTTTCTTCATCTAGTCATACTAACGACCTTCATCACAAGCTACCTTCCCCAGCTGCTTACTCTAAAAAGAACATTAATTCGTCAGATATGGCAGACAGTGGTAGTAATCCACGATCACCACTTTCTCCTGGGTCACACCAAACATTGCGGCGATGTGCTGGTTCACCATTTTTATCTGACTCTCCGACGAGTTTTGAGGAATATGTTCAAGACAGGCATAATCCATATCTTGACTTTATACAGGAAGATGTGGAGGAGAAAGTTGAGGACACAGCGTTTAGAGCTCGTAGTAATATTGGAGTGTACTGCACGATGCAGCGGAGGCGAAGGCCACAGAAACCTCGAACAAGGACATATTCAGACAGGGCAGAGAACGATGGGCACAAAGGGCGAGAATCGCCATCCGCTGGTGCCTCACAGAGATTGCAGAATTTCAGCAGGGAAGAGGTAGAACAGCGTCAGGAGAAGAGCCTCCCATCTCCGAGTGAAAGAGCCCTGTATTCTACCCTCCCACTTCGAAGCAAGGGCCATCACATTCCACAGCCGTCAAAGCAGTGTAGGTAACCTCTTGTGTTGTTGTAGTGCCAGGGTAAATATTGTAATGCGATCCACAAAAGAAAGTTTGAAAACATGTAACAATTCTTGTAAATGCCTTTGAAGAAAGGTGCGCATTTGTCTAGTGTTTAACTCTTGTTTAACTGTACACAGCTTATTGTGGCCAGCTAAAATGAGGGAACAAAAACATAATATATAACATACAGGTGGGGATGACCCTGGGGATCAAGTAGTCACCTTGTGATACCTCCCACATGTCATATACACTGTCAGGGCACACAAAAATACTCTAAACCCAGGGTGGAGGATAAAGAAAAAGAGCAGTTATGTTATCCATGGATTCAGAACAAAGATTTTGGTCTTGTGATCATATTAGAAGTATTGAGTTTCATAGTTGTTTTTGTTTGTTTGTTTACACTCATGAATTTTTAAATTGCTCTGGTATTTACTTTGAAAACATGCAAGCCAGCTGTTTGCCGACAAATTTTGAATATTTCATTGAGCGTTATGAAATTTATCAGGGAGAAATGTGGCGTCTTACATTTGATGTTCCTGTATCGGCATATATTGCCATAGTTTTCTAATTTCCATTTCTGCTGAGGTAGGCTAAGAAAGGGGTGCCCCTTGTTTCAAGCAATTGATTGAAAAGTATATAGTTTTTACTATTAAAAAGGTTAATATTTTCTACATCTCCATTAGAAACCTTTTCAAGTCAATAAAATATATATATATTTGAAGTTAAAAAAGAGATGAAAGATACTGGCTTTATGTTATCTGAACATTTATCAACACTGAGATAGTTGTGGTCATCTCTAACGTGTTTTACCTTAACCACAACACTTGGTCTTTTCTTCAACTTTACAGGTCTCGTAAGCTGTGATTTACGTCCTTGATTGTGATACAAAATAAATGGAAGTAAATATTCATGTTAGATTGGGATGCTTGGTTCCCCCCATACATAAAACCTCCATTAATGTGGTATTGTAGGTAATGTGCATCTTGTTCTCCATTTAGGTAATGTGAGAGTTGGGTAGTTCTTGGATGTGGATGAGTGGAGAGAGAGAGAGAGAGGGAGAGAGGGAGAGAGAGAGAGAGAGAGACGACTGGCCTAAAATATCATTGGGCATTTGGTTTTGTATGAATGAGATTTTTTTGCATAAAGTAGGGGTGTTTGCAAGTTCATTTTTCTGTCATACAAGTTATTAGCCCTAATCATATATTAATTTTGACATTTCTCAAATAATAAAGATACGTCTACACAGAAGATGTCATTGGAGCAGGACCTAGACAAAATGATGCCCTTAACAGCACTGTAACAACCACCTTAGCTTAATTCAGAAAGATCATTCTGTTTAAGTTCTATCATCATCACTCTTAATGATATCCTCTTCACTTGATAAAGATGCCAATGTGGTAGTATAGTAGCAGTATGTCACCTGCCAGTCTGACCGTAAGTAACATGGCCATAGGTTTGACCTCTCCAGAGTTGACCACTGGTCATTTTGATGGCGACAAGAATGGGTATTAACATTGTATGAGGAGTAATAGATATAAGCGTCAGGGAATATTAATGAGGAAAGTCACCCTTCCGTACATTGACCTATGTTGATTATAGGTATTTTGTAGTTAGACTTCTAATTTTAGGTTATGTTCCTGGTTGAAAATGATTATTGAGATAAAGATATTTTTATTGAGTTAAAAACACATTTTATTTGAGTCATTACAGGTGTGAGAATGCTGTCGTAGGAGGTGCGTTCTTTAATTGCGTATTTGTTTTTATTTAATTACCTATATGACGTAGAGGATAGCCTTGTTTACTTGGCTAGAAAGGTGTGGGGATCATTTTTTACATTCCTGAGGACAGCGTAGTACCTGTTCTTTTTGGACATGTGATAGGGTTTTTTTATTTTCAGTGTAGCATTTTAAAGAGTTCCCCATTAAAATGATTGCCCCTTCCCCTCTTAAGTTTAGGTCCTGTGGCACTTAAAAAAGAGGGTATCACGGTCACATGAAAGACCATCTGAAATCCAATGATTGATGGCACGATGACACTCGCAGACTTTCTTTATATTTCATTGTAAAACAACTGAGACTTAACACATTGGCAAATGATTTGTCAGCTACTTCCTAGGTAATGACATCAGAAGTAAAAGATTATGATCTGCCATCTTTTTCTTGTCCCTTCTCAAGATTAATGTAATGGGTGACAAAAGTTGTTTTTTTTTTTTTTTTTTAATATGTAGCATTTCAGGGCCTTATAGGCAAACATTAAAATAGGGATTTGTTTCTCTTCTTAGTTCTTGGTTCTTCGTTTACACTGGACGGCGTCCTTTCTGCGACCATGAAATTTGGCATCGCTGTGGTCTTAATAAGGAGGCACGAGCATTGATTTTGTATCAGAATGAATGCTCAATGATCGGCCAGTTGTCTGCACGTAAAGTATTATAATTTTTTAACTCTCAAATGGGTCCGTACTGCTGGACGCAGAAAGGACGCCGTCCAGTGTAAAGGGGCCCTAAGTAAAGCAACCACATTTCTATCTGTATTTTATCTTCATCATCTAGATATTATGGAGTATGGATTTCTTTCTGGTACGACTACATAAGTTAAGAACCTAGCATAGCACTCTCTTCTAAATTTCTCTCTGTATCTCTCCATCATGTGGATATATCACCATAGTGCACACAGCAGATAGGTGGTTATAATTGAATTAGTGTCAATGCAGAGAATTATGACTTCTGATCCGCTATCACTGGGACCTGTATCATTTAAATTGTGTATCAGAGAGTGTGGAAAATATACCTATAGAAGTGATGGGTGGCTCTCTATGAGTGCCTGAGTAATGGTCGATAGATCTTCATTTTCTTATGAAAAAATCTCCAGGCAAAATGCTTTTTTTATCATTTTCTTGAAATTATAAAAGAGGATGAAAAATTACATTTTAAGTATTAAATAAATTCAAATCATAAAATATATAGAAAAATAACTTGAAGAGAGAATTCTTTTTAATTTAAAAATGTTAATCCTTTTAGATAACTTATCCACAACCATATTCTAAATCAGTCATTCGTGTATAATGGAGACGGGCATTGGTGGTCAGAAGTAGACTGGTCAAACTAAGTGGTCAGTGATAATGTGTGTTGACTGACCACATTAAATGATAACCACGCTAAGCGGTGCTTGTATAGGTCTTAGATAACTGGTGATCTTGAGCACCACTGGTGTTAGTTTAGTGCTGTGCTTTGAAATGAAGTATTTTGTGTGTGTTAGTATTGACACTGGGCCTTACAATAACTGCCTTATGCTACCAGAGGGATTCTAGGCTAAAGTGAAGTGGTTTGTTGGCACTGATGAAATGACAGGGTACTCTCTGACATAATACATATTAGCCAATTGCTTAACAAATTTAAATTTGGTGTAAGAAAATGTAAAGTTTTGCTCTTTTACAATTTTGTCATTGAATCAGATCTGCTATGTATATGTGATTCTTTGTATGAGACTGATGGAATGTATTATTCCAAAGTAAATAAACTATAATATAGTTCAGGATTTTGTATTGGCAAAAATTATTGAGATGTTTTTCTTAAGAAAACTTAATTGCAGAAGAAAGCACCTCTGAGATAATAATGGTTATGTAATATAGTATATTAAGGTGAAAAGGGTCAGTTAGAGAAGTTGAAGAAAATAATGAAAAAAAAACAAAAAAAATGAATTGTATAAAAGCTTCAGTATCTGTCAACTAATATTATCTTAGGGTTCACTTTGAAATAAATTAACTTCTGATTGATCAAATGAGGTTAAACATTCTGACTATGGAAGAATTCGATGCTTAAATAATCTTGTTATGGAGATAATTGTTCAGCAGAAATTAGATACAGTGGTCATTGATCTAGAACAGAAGTATCTGGTGTATGGTCAGCAAATGGACACGGCTGTAGTTGAATACAGCCATTAGAAGGCTATTTGTTCAATTGGAACTGACTGAATGGCAGAAATTGATTAGAGATAATCAAATTAATTGAATGATAATATCAAATGACCCATACTTCATGCATGTCACTACCTTCTCAAAGGAAATTTTCTCTAAATTGGATGAGGGCTATTTTTAGATGTGTAAAGGTGTAAGGTTTGTGTTCACATATTTGTGGAAGGGCTCCTCAAAAAGCTTGTCTAGATTTACCCTCCTCGTTTGACTCTTGTGTGATTTGTAAGCGACTGAATTTAAGTGGTTTCGTGTGTCTTCAGCCTTTATGTAGATAACAACACTAGATATGAGGTAATCACATCAAGTGGATACTTTGGTGTGGAAATTGAGATGTGTTGTACAAACGCTGAGCTTTCTATGATAATATTAGGAGAGGTGGAGTAGAAAAGCAAGTGAGATAATCACTTTCTAAGAATGGAAGGAATTTGGTTATACCACAGAAGTGCTTTGGTCGTGTTGTATTTCTCTTTTGCACTTTAGTGACTCTGTGTAATTAAGGCCTATATGTACCTAGTTCAAAAAAATATAAGCAGCATTTTTGTGAGTTTTTAATTTTTGCGTATGTTTTATTATTGATTCATTCCTGTTGGATCCATGTAATTAACTTGCTACTACAATGACAGAATAATGCAGGTCTTAAAACGCCGACCCCTCCACGCCATGTGTGGCAATTGGCTCTATCTCTCTCTCTCTCTCTCTCTAAATATATGTTTGTGTGTGTTTGTGTGTGTGTGTGTGAGAGAGAGAGAGAGAGAGAGAGTGAGTGAGGCACTCTCGACTTGCCATGTCCTCCAATGTTCTTCAAATTGAGCTATATACTTTGCTTGGATAAAATTATTGCTAATATTAACTACTACCAATTTATGTCATTGTGCAATCACAAGCTGTGTTTGAAATGATTGTTTTGCACTGCCTGCTACCAGTATTAGTGGTGTGTATTTTTTTCTTCACACCAAGTCATTGAAATTACCTGGTAATACAAATGTATTCATAGTATCACCCAGGTCTGTGTTCCC